ACGAAATCGTTCTTTTTTTCCACAAATCATTTCATTGTTTTCTGCATCAAAATAGATTCGTACTTTATATGAAGCTGGTTTGGTTGAAATGGATATACTGCCTAGAGACTCAAGTAACCACGTAATGGCATAGATTGTATGGACGACTCCGGCGTAGTGGTTAGCATCCATACCTCTCACGTGTTCAAATCTCACCCCCGGACAATCCACGAATGACCCAAGACCGTTAAAGTGACTATAATAAAAAACCATAGATGGTGCAAAGGCCTCAAATTCCAATATCAATCTGAGTAAGAAATAAACCAGTAATAAACTCCCATGCGGTAGGAGAAAATACACAACTTAAAAGCAACAGTGACAATGTCGCACATTTCCGGGTCAGTTGTTTAAAAAAAAAGTTGCTACAGCGTCGTCAGCGATGCGCGCTGGCTTAACTCGGTGCTTCGCAAAAGGTCAAAGTAAACATTAAACATTAAGCATCTTACATAGCCGTTCCTACCGCGGGGTGCATCAATTCTTGTAAAAAAAGCAAACACCGACTTTCCAAGAGAAAAACTATCTGTCTCGCTTTATATGTACATACTGGATAAAAACTATTGTGTAGAGTTTAAGTAACAAATTCATGTATAAAAGGTTTCAAAAAATAAAGAATCAGGGCAGTTGTTCTGATGAGTTATTATTCGAGGTTTGCTAAGTGCGGACGAGCACAGTTTCAACCTCAGGATAACTGATTCATAAAAGAGCATTTTCCATACAGTAGAAATGGAATTGCACTGTCTTTCATTTTACGGAAAAAGAAAGACCACGCAAGTTGTTGCTCTACGTTGGGCACTTCATCACGGGAGTGAAACATGGATGTGCAACGGAGTTGGGCGCTTCAGATGATACGAAAACAATACGAAGGGACACGAAAATTTCGATGAAAAATACAATCGCCATTCTGACCATCGCCGTATGTACGAAAACATGTTGTACAATCGCGTTTTCACGAAATCAATTCGTACAATTTATAGATTTCTTTATAATGATGAACGGAAACCAGATTGTGTTACGGATGTTTTGGAAACCATGTGATGGGATGTAATCAAAGAAAATATGAAAATGATGTAGATGCGAAAATTTTGTATTGCTCAACTTAAAAATAACCTATCCTAACAGCTGTTTATTTAAATGAGTTCTCGCACTGGCAGCACAAATCGGTGGAGAAGGAATTGATCAAGATTATGTAGCCTAGCGTGTGCAATTTAACATGGATTTCTCCAACGAAGAATTGTATCCGTTTGTTATGCAACCAATGTGCCGTTGTTTTTTTTTTTTCATTCATATGAACCAGAAGTTAAGACGGCCATCGTTGCATTAATTTTGGTATAATTGACAAGATTTACGAAAATGATAGCCGCATCGAAAACGCAGAAGCACTTTCTTTGACTGGAAGAGTTGGGGATCAATTTTGAAAAATGGTTCTTTCTCCAATAAAACAATACACTCAAGTCTTTTTTTAAACGTGGGATATGTACCGTGTAAAAAAAAACCTACCGATATTTTGATTTTTCACATGCTTAAATGTTTTTTAAAAATTGGATTTTGATGCCATTCGTAATTATAGCATGCTATGGTCCAATTATAGCATGCTATGGTCCAAAAATTTCTGTATTTACACCTAACATTTTGTTTTTTTTTAAATATGCCATTCAATTACCTATAGCTTGAAACGGATAATGTAATTGGAATCACGTCGATAGGTTGTATCGTTGACGAGAAATCGTTAAAAACGTACCGTGTAAATCGCGACTCAGCGGCACTAACCGTGTAAAAAAAACCGATCCTCTGCCAAAAAGGAGGGTTGCTGAAGCCACCACCATTGGTGGTGTCAGCACTGTAGCCTACAGTTTTAATGCTATGTTTATATGTGCATTGACGACACGTATGCGTTAAAAATCGTGTGTGAATAATCAATCATGAAACTTGATTTTTTCATGATTAGCTTGCCTAATTAAAAAATAATAATTTAATAACTATTTAATTCCATCAAGTACTCATTTGTTGAAGATTTATCAAGATTATTTTGCCGCGCAACAAATCAAACATCTATGTGGACAGAGCATAATTTCTCAATGTTTGCATCAGGTGTATTAGATTGGCAGATAATAGAGCCTAGGAACCAACAACTTTGGTTTCAAGCAATATGTTCGTGGATGGCGTTTCTGCCACCGAAGTGGTAAAAACCGCGTAAAAAACTGTGTAATACCCCGTTCACATTGCAGCCTATATCACGTAATATAGGCTGTCTTGCAATGAACACTCATACATAGGATTTCCAGTGAAAACTAGATGTATGAGTGTTCATTGCAAGACACCGTATATAAGGTGATATACGCTTTAATGTGAACGGGGTATAAGAAAGACTTCAGTGTACATAAATGCAACTTGCTGGAGAGTTCAGTAGTTTAGAAGTCTTATTTACCCATTGATAAACGGAAACTGCTATTTATTAAAACAATTAGAGTAAAGTGTATGGAAGGAGCCAGACTTTCTAAACAAAAATCACGAAAATTGCAATTGAAGGCTTTTGTCACATTCTGCTTCATCTATGATTGTTTAGAGTAAATAACTGCGTTTTAGACATTTGTGAATGATTACATGGGTTTTGGACACGACTCGAATTTTTACCTTACTATAGACATTTCCAGCTTCCTGATGACATATCAAAAGTCTGATAATCCTGAAATCATCTTCAAGAGTAACGCATTCATGCTCTGAATTGAAATTGCTTCTTCACTATTCAACTTTCCTTGTTGTACGCCCCCAAAGTTGGGACAAATGTTATAACTTATCTTCCCGAAACTCACTTTTGCCTATAATTCTACGAAAACACCACCACTTTTTGTAATTATTTGGGGGATAGCCTGGCTCTAAAAGACTTTCGAAACTAGGGCTAGTTAATTTTATTTTATAGAGGCGTTGAAAACTTAAAAACCTTACTATTTATATTGATTATTGAAACTCGTAAACAAAATGAAATTCTTCTTATTGATAGATCTATTAACTAAAAACAACAACGCACTCTTTTGCCTGTGGACTTGAGGACATTGAGTATAAGCTAGGTAAAGGCATTTGATAAGTATTTGTCGCAATAACGGCCTTTCGCTCAATTTCAAATTCTGTTCAATTTTCACACTGCCGTACTCTAGCGGAATTATCAATCTACCATCTTCAGAACTTTCTCTACCTAATAAATTATCGCACTAAAGCTTCATGTTGATATTAGTATAGCATTTCCTCTCAACTCTAAAAACAGCCTACTGAATTAAAAAAAAAAGGTACAATACGCTTATCTGCCAAATTTCTACAACATCAGATTGTCAGAGTAATGTCGTGGATTTAAGGCACTTTAAATGCATTTCTCGATTACTTTTTCGAAGGGACGTATCAGCTTTTGTAAACAATGCATTTCATCGTTAATTTGACGTAACTGGTAGCTCGCCCACATATACTAACACCACTATCAGGTAGGTGAAAATTTCTCCTATCTGAGAGTAGTGTTAGAATGCGTGGGAGAACTACCAGCTACGCCAAATCGTCGATCAAATGCATTATTTACAAAAGCTGATACGTCCCTTCGAAAAAGTAATCGAGATTTGATGACTGGTTTGACATATGAAATGCATTTCAGTTAGATTGATAGTAAGGGTAGTAAGCCTAGTGAAGGAGGAATCACGAACCCGGTGGTTATATACGTGACTTGAACACATTTTATTCAATTCAAACTGATATCGTTGATGCTTTCTCGGAGATGAACTTGCGCGTGGCTAAAAACTCCTAGATTAAAAAAAAAAACAAAAATAGGTGTTGCTTTCTGAGGATAAAAATTCTTTTCACCTTATATTTTGGAGCTATGGCCCCATCGGTAGAGTTGCATCCCTGGATGAAACAAACACCGACGGAAAGAAAATTAGAATTTGATTAATAATTGAATTTAGCGTGTTGAGCAAAATGGAAAATTTAACTGGATTTAAAAACACGTTTTAATCATGTACAATTTGGGAAACTGAAAACCATTTCTGGAATTCAATTCATCATTTTTATCTCTTGATTTTGTCACATTTATTTTAGTCAAAATAACAACTATTTATATGTGTTATGTAACAAAGGATATGCGAGTCTAATGCTTAATCACAGTTTTCCAAAATATTATAACAAACCCCGTTACCGTGCGAGACCGAAATCCATACACCTAATAAAAAAACGCCTACTTTTTGTATGAGGTGTACGGATTTCGATCCGGCATGGATTTCGGTCCCGCATAGATTTCGGTCCATCAGCAATAATTTGAAATTAGTGCCGGTTTCGTTGCTACATTTGAACTTTTTCACCACCCCGTTTAATATGACCAATAAAGTTAATTAGGACAGTGGAATCCAATTGAAATCAAGAGCTCCTCGTCCATAAAACTGAACATTTCAAAAATCCACCCATCTCATTTCACCAGTGACGCATTTACATATAGCCATCTTCGAGCGTCGTAAATGAAATTCATAAGTGAAGCGCAAAAATGCGCCATCCTATTACGCACCGTGCGTCTCCATCATCGTTACACAGAAGGTGGCGGTGGATCGAATCGCTGGTCAAGCACAACCAGTAGCAGCAACGTGAAAAGGAAGGTAGGTAGGTGTTCAAGAAATTATGACTCCGAACTGATGCCATGCACGTTGCTGCCATGCTGGTGTTGTAATGATTAGGAAATATTTCAAGCGGCTCCCTAACGACTCTATAGGAACACACGGCTCGTGGAGTCGAATCTAAATTTAACATCCTTTTGGTGGAACATCTGGCACTTTCGGAAAACGAGGTTGAACGCTTTCCGGCCTGACCACCTAGTAAGCGAAGCAATGGACCGGTGAAGAATGCCACACTTGTTATTATTTCCATCGTTACATTTTGACGTTTTCAAAACTAAACATTTTTCAAGCAACGTTTCAAAGATAAATTGGAATACTTACTCATGCTGACGTCCATCGATAGCTGACAGTGATGGTGCAACATTATCACTCGGCTGTGCAATCGGGATGCAGTGTGTATGTTTGGGAGGTTCGAAGCTCAAGCTGGAATCCTAATATCTACGTGCATCTTAAAAATGTTAAATGTAGGTGGTGCATTGTTTATCCATTCGGCATCGGTGAATAGTGGTCCGATCTTTTCCTCACTCGCTCGCAGTCCTTTTCACGCACAACAACAACAACAACAAATACTTCAAACACTCACACATCCTTCTAATTAATGCTGCAGACTGTATCCTCTTAGTAGAACATTTCGATTATAACGTAGAGCAGCAATAGCAGGAAGATCAGAATTAAGAACGTCGTCATGAGGTTTCTAGTTTCAGACATCTTGATCGGGTTTTTCTACGTGGGTACACTGGCTAAAATAAATCAAAATCGATAGGTAGATTAATTGAAACAAGTGCACTGTGTGATCAACCGTGGCCGCAAACTATTCTGACATTGATCAATGCAAAACAGTGCTCGACAGTGGTGTAGTAAAGCATACAAAGTAGCACGCAGAGTCAACTTACATTTCGGTGCTGTTTGCTTTCCTGGGGAGTCACGAGATGTTTTCCAGCGGAGAGTACGATCGATACTGACAGTCGGATGGAAAAGATAATTTTTCTAAAAATACCATCATATTTTTTTCGCTATATGGTACAAGAAATTATGTGCCTGGTATATAGCAAAAACGTGTGCTCAATTTTTACTTCTTTCTTGTACGGGTGTGGCCTTTTTTTTTCCTCTTTCCAACGGAAAGCCGGACAGGAGTTGCATGGGTTAAAAATACCGTCCGGTTCGGATCGTAAATAAACAAATAACATCGATTTTTTAAGTCACTTCCATTGAAAACACGGCTTTTTTGTTCCACTCCTGCTCCGATGGTTCGAAATGTGTTTATTCATATTTGTCCGGCCGATGATGTCTATAGCTTCCGATTTTTACAACGAAGTGACAGGACGATGTTAGCACTCGAGTCAACGGTACATAAATTACCACCAGCTAAAGGGTTTTCCTAGCGTAATTGGATACGTCTGGTTGCGGAGTGTGACCTTTAAATTTTATAGATCCTATCTATCTGAGTAAAAATGTAACGGCGATCGAATGGTGGACAGCATGCTCGAGCAGAACGTTAAGTCACAATGGATTGCGTAGTTTCTCACTTTCTCTCCTGATATAGGTCGACTGAAAACGATGAACCAAAATATCTTTGTGCATGACGTGTGAATTAATATATTGCCAATTCAGGGAAAAATTAGCATTTGGCATCAGATTATCTGCTTTAAATAATAGCATGCTGCGGTTGTCAGTTGCGTTGATTTGTTTCCCCCTGAAATGGCAATTTGAGCTATTGAAGTTCAATGTAAGGTGCATTCAAAGCATGCTGTTTTAGAATCTAATACCCCGTACAGACTATGGCTTAGATCATGTCATATAGGCTGTCTTGCAGTGAGCACTTATACATCTAGTATTTAAAGGAAATCCTATGTATTAAGTCATAGTCTGTCCGGGATATAAGGTTGTGCTCCATTTGGTGAATTTTCACTTAAATTTTACGCTTCGAAAATAAATTATAATGTTCGAGAACCCCTCTGTTGTTGATCGTTCGATTTTCGCGAAGGTGTTTGTCAAAATTGATTCCTAATCTGTCAGAAATACTCAGAGGAGAAGATGGGTGGAGAAAACAGCAGGGATTTGTACCTAGATTATCTTCCAACCCCTGCTAGAAGCTAGCATTTCAGGTGACTTTTATTTTTGATTCGATTTACGTGAAAAATAATAATTGATTGCAGCGCAATATTTTGCACCTTTCTTGCGTCACAATCAGCAAATGTATGACTCGTGAGCGTTCACTCAGAGTGAGAACGCACGAATTGTAAAATCGTGGATTATGACGCAATGAAAGCAATAATGACAGGTTTTATGTGTCAAACACATAGTTTACAACCTTTTCTCATAACTTACAAGCATTAATTACACTAGTATACAGCATATTGGAAATTTGTGCGCTGATGGTCATTTTACATGTAAAATCGTGTGCTGAGTCCAAAAATGCTGTCAAAAAAAAAATCTCAGTTTGATAGTTTTCAAGATATTGATAAAAAATGAAATTTCACTGTAAAAAAATGTGTTTACTACAATACAAATATCTCCGGTTTTAATGAAGTTATATTAATTATTTCAACGCCAAATTAAAGGTGATACAATTTTCTTTCGATCATTTCACCACAATTTTTCAGTGAGATTTGTGGTACAACCACTACAAACATTTTTATTTACACTGCTTAAAAACTTATCAGAAATTCAATGTTTTCTTGTAAAAATGCAAAGTATAAAACATATAATGAACAAACTATTAATTAACAACAATACCACTAATCTCACTGACACTTGACGTTAAATTAATCAATTGAAAATATTCTTACATTTATTTTGATGTTAAAATAATTGATATAGTCTCATTGCAACCGGAGATATTTGTATTTTAGTAAACACACTTTTTAAAGTGAATTTTGATTTTTTTTTTAACTATCGTACAGAGATTTTTTTTACTACATTTTTGGATTCATCGCACGATTTTACATAAGAATCATTGGTCAAAGGTTCAAATTAATTTTTTTAATTTTATTTGTAAACAAATGATTTCATAATTCAGAAAAACATTTTTAGTAAGTGAGTGGAAGCAACCCTGGTCTCAAGTGCACCTTCGGTGAAAACACAGTGTGGCTCTATGGTGCGGAAATTTTGAGTTTTGATAGAGAGTTTAATAACACTAAACTATCTATTTTGAGATAAGTTAACAATATTAAAATTTAATGAAAAAGTACCAAAAGAGCGATCCATCCCTGCTGGTCGAAACCAAACATGCTTTCTTGAGGTGAAAAAAGTTTAATCGATGATTAGTTTCCACAGTTGATGTGACTTGTACCGACTCAACTTGACTAATACGGGGCTAGCATGAACGAGGACACTTTTGTAGACCTGTACTGGAGGATGCTAGGTCATTAGGCCGACCGCCATTAGGCCAAATGATCACTAGGCCGACAGTCAAAAGGCCGAAGTGTCACAAATACTAATACTTGCCTGCTGCTAAATATGAATGTTTTTTTTTAATGCGTTTATTTTTCCAGGCTCATTTGCCGTAGCTTTGCGGAGCCGCTATTCATTGTTTAGATTACAAAATTACTTAAAACTAACTGCGGGGCCGATCTCGAGGATAGGGGTAACAAATTGCAACAAATGGATGGTAGGGTAGGGATTGAGAACACAAGGTTTGGAGAGCAATGTGCTCTTGATCTCGAACTAAGAGACAAACTGATGAAAAATACAAACATGGGGGTACACCGATGGGCAGCAAACAACTTGGGGAACACAAGATGACATTAACTACTAAATCCCCAGATCTACCCGTTTTTTAAACACATAAATTAAATTGCAATAGTCGAGATCTCGGCTCGCCAAGATTTCTCTCATAGGTTGTTTTCCTCAGTCCCTGAGGGATTCGGATAACTCGGATCTAGCAACAAACTGGAGGGTGCATGACCAAAGCACGTGGTCGATCTCGTGATAACCACTACCACAAGCGCACAAATTGATGCCTGCGAGCCCGATTCGAAAGAAATGCGAATCTAACGAGCAGTGATTGGACATGAGCCTCGACATGACACGTATAAAGTCACGGCTCATGTCCAACCCTTTGATCCACGGCTTGGTCGACACCTGTGGGAGAATAGAATGTAACCATCTTCCCAGATCACTCTCATTCCATTTTTGTTGCCAGTTGGTGAGGACTTGCTGACGGATAGTTGAGAAAAATTTCGCCTTCCATAGCGCCCACTTTAGACAACGAGTCCGCTTTCTCGTTACCCGGAATAGCGCAATGAGATGATACCCAGACTAAAGTGATGGTATAGGAGCAGTTAGATAAGGTACTCAATTTGGCTCGGATTTCGGTCAGGAAATACGAGGAGTGCTTCATCGGCCTCATTGAACGAATAGCCTCCAATGAGCTGGATAGTCTTAGCTCAGTAAAAAGCTTAGTAAAAATGAAATAATGGTCAGAAGGTAGTGAGGCAATTTGCTCTACTGCGTAGAATATGGCTGCGACTTCCACAACATATACGGAACAAGGTTTTTGCAGTTGATAAGAGGCGCTATGAAATTCGTTGGATACTCCAAATCCGGTGGAATCATTTATTGTTGACCCATCTGTGAAAAAACTCCTATTGTTACTGACATGGTGGTACTTGTTTGCAAAAATTAAGGAAACAACCATCGACCGATGGTGATCTGGTATTCCATGGATTTCTTGCAACATGGTCAGATCAAAATTTACAGAGGAACTTTAAAAGTCTTTGAAGCAAACACGATTCGAATTGTACGAAGAAGGGCCAAAATATGAATCTTGAAAAAATATATTATAGACTCTACCAATCAAGTATAAACAACCCAAGTAGCACTTGTTGTCACATAAAAGTTACTGCCACTATGTTGTGACCAAATTATGTGTCCTAAAGTCATTACAGCAACCATGAAGGCAACAGCAATGCAACCAAAAAAGCGCAAGATGTGAGTTGATATGTAACCAATTCAATGTTACAAAACTAGTTACACAGTAGTGACGAAATAGAAATATTCGATTACATACAATCATTTCATTAAATTTAGTTTAATATTTCGGCGATGATTATTCTTTCGCAGAGTATCTTTATGGCATAAACCTTTTGAGGTGTTGATAAAATTATAATAACTAATCATAAGAGTAAACACGTTCTAGAAAAAAAATGTAGTTTCATATTTACGGTGAAGTTGGAAGTTTTATATTAATAAAATAAATGCGCCATCATATACAGCTTTCCCCCGAAGAACGCGTTACCCACTGAGTTGCACCCACCGCACTATGGGCAAAAATGGGTCCAAAATTACCCAAAATTCAATATCTTAACAGCACGCTGAATTTGGACCATGAAAAACGACTTTTCCGAAGGGAAATCGTCCGAGGAATCAATTGCACTTGGTCCTATAGACCGGAGAGCCTTGTAGGTATGTGTTTTGGACCATTTTACCCCATTTCCCCCTACTTTTTGGAGGAAATGTTTTTTCACAGCTCTATTTTTCGTAAAACATAAGCAATTTATGCATGGTTTTAGAATACTATGTCTTTAAACAACAGTTCATGAGATATTAGGGGAATACGGGGTACACTTTATAGGGGAGTAAGGGGTAAAATTGAACCCTCGCTAAATTTATTTTAATTCATAAAAATGTTGAACGATGCGATTGTTTGAATGACCCTAAAGGTTGCCTGCAATAATAAGATTTTTTTTTTCGAAATTTTATGGTTAATTGGGGTTAAATAAGTTTTAATTTACAGCTATCTGTTTTAAAAGAGTTTTCACTTTTTTTGTCTGTATACAGCAAAACGATATAGTGGTTCTCAGAATTTTGTAAAAATTGATAGTTTTGTTCCTTATCGCAACATATTAGACCCGTATTTTTTATTTTGTCATTAGGGTGACTATTTATATATTAGGGCGGCCAAAAGAAAAAAAATTTTCTTCGATTTTTTTCAAAAATTTATAACTTTTGAACTGT